CACACACACACACACACACACACACACACACACACACACACACACACACACACACACTTTTAAGAATGCAAATTACTTATAGAAGAGAATGTACTTGTCAGTAAAAACATTGTTAGAACTTAATCATTAAGACGTGGAAAACATGATCACGAGTTGTATCTAGATTTAAACCCAGTTCACACTGGGACAATTTTTAATAATATAGTTTTTATTGTTTGGTTATGTGTGTGCATTTAAACTGAGTTTTAGGAGCAGCTAAATGGATTTTTTAAACTGGGTTAAACAGTAAAACTACTGTCAGGACATAGTGACATTTTAACATGTAAAAAATACTTTTTATATAAAAGTTACCTACTGCAGCTTTAATATGAAAAGGCCCACTCATACAAATGGTAGTTAGACAAATTTTTAAACAAACAAACAAACAAACAAACAAACAAACAAACAAACAAACAAACAAACACCTTCAACAGAAATCTGATCAAAGTTAAACTCTGGTATGGATTTGCAGGAAGAAAACTGCAGTTATTAGTTATTAGGTACTTATCTGTTAGGGTCGGCTGTGGCAGAGTGGTTAGGGGAGTCATCCTGGAACCGTTAGGTTGCCGGTTCGATCCCCCTGTTCAAGCTGTCTTTTCCCTCTGATGTGTCTGTAATTAGCACTGTTTAGTCTCCACAGTTTATTTGTACATGCTAGCTATGTAGACACCTAGTAGAGTGCTATGTGAATGGGTAAATGAGCACACAGATTGTATTATAAAGTGCTCTGAGTGTCCTGGTTGGACAGAAAGGTGCTAAATAAGTAAAGTCCATTTATCTTATGATCTTCAACACCTGTCACTAAAAGGTAAAGGCACTTCTCTCAGTGTGTACATGAGCGTGCAAATGTGTCTGTTTTAGCCTTTTACCAAAATATCAACTGGGCAGATTTTAATGAAATTTGCAGTAATCATTGGATGTACAACTACAAAGGATAAACTTTTGAAGTCGAAACAAAATGACAGCCACAGCTAAAATAATCTTTGAAAACTCAAAAAATGGTTACAAATAAGTCTGTTTTACAGATATTTATGCTCAAAGTTGGTGTGCTAGTAGCTGAGATTGATTCATAACATACTCCTAGAACTACATTTTGTAGATAGTTGCTCAAAATTTTAGATTTTAGGGCGGCTGTGGCGGAGTGGTTAGGGGAGTCGTCCTGGAACCGGGAGGTCACTGGTTCAATACCCCCATCCAGCCGTCTCAGTTGTTGTGTCCTTGGGCAAGACACTTCACCCACCTTGCCTACTGATGGTGGTCAGAGGGTCCGGAGGCGCCGGTGCATGGCAGCCCCACCTCTGTCAGTGTGCCCCAGGGCAGCTGTGGCTACAGTGTTGTTTGCCATCATCAGTGTGTGAATGTGAGTGTGAATGGGTGAATGTCTGTTAGTGTAAAGCACTTTGGGGGTCCGGAGGGACTTGAAAAGCGCTCTATAAGTTCYGTACCATTTACCATTTACCTGTTGGATTTAACTCTCAACAGCTAACAGAGATGACTGATAATGTTTAATAACACATTTTTAAATATTTGTATGTAAGGATTTGTGTTTTCTCTTAATTATTTTCCATTTTGTGTTCATGTTCCATTTGTGTTTGTGTTAACTGCTCTTAAGTTTGTGTGTCTTTAGATTGTGTGTCCTTATATTAGAGTGCAGTTCTGCGTTGTATGTTGGCATCCTGTCACATATCCCAGTTTCTCCTTGTGTTGTGCTCTTCGTCTCGAGTATGAATGAATGTGAATTATGCCCAGTAAAAATACTGTCCTCATTATAGGTTACTTGTACAAGTACAGTGAATCATTACACTTAGATTATTTTAACAAATAATTCAAATCATGTTATTGAGCTTCAGTGTACCACAATAAAATATTTTGTCATCACTGTTGGTGAGTAAATAAAGCCCAAGTCAATCAAGGAAAGGATACTGAGCACTCCAGTACCACTTTATTCCTAATTCTTTATAAATGTGTGAAATCAGGCGAGAATCTACATGGATCAGCACGAGTCCATCTGCTCATGTTTCTCACCATCTGTCACACTCAGGAATTCAGATGTCTTTTATTTGGTGCTACATTGAATAATGAACCTGTAAAACCTTTGTTCTAAATCAGAATTATATGAATCAGTGTAAAAATGTCAACAAACAATTCAAACTTTAAAACAATAACGTATTTTCACCTTGGGTTTGTTAACACAGTGTTTGTAGTTTGTGATTCTCTCGATCTCTCTCTCTCTTTTTCACTTGCTCCCACACACACAAATACAGTATGCACACACATGCAAACATGTTTATATTTCTAGAACATTGTATTGACTTCCATTCATTTAGCATTAAGGTGGGCTGTGAGTTTAGGGTTAAACAAGTTAGTCAGATAAGGGTTGGGTTTAAAGCAGGGATTAGGGTTAGGCTGGAGCAAAATTCTTTCTGCTACTAAAACAGCATCACCTTATTCCCAGTCAAAGTGCATTTTCTGTTTTTTTAACCTAACCCCACATATTTTCTGGGTATAAACATAAAAGATTTAGTCGTTCTGTGGTTTTGTTAAGGTCAGTTAGCTTGATTGGCCATTTTGATATAGATTGAGCTGGAGGGCCCAGAATTCTCAGCCGAGTCAACGACCTGTCACATTGTTGCTCCACGTTTGTTTTCACACACACCTTTCATTGTCTATGAGATACATGATATGAGCTTGTGAGAAACCCCTCTTGCTACTGTACACATCACAGCACAGGCTCCTTTCTGCTGGAATCTCTACTCCAAAAAAAGTTTCCACTCTGATATCTGCCGTTACTTTGGACACAAATCTGTCACCGTTAAAGTTCCAGAAGTTGTCTCCATCCATGAGTTTTTGACCATTTCGTTGTCTTTATAAATGTCTGCTTCCAGGTGCAAAAGTCAGTTTCTGGAAGTGGAGTAGTTTGCAAAATGCAGCATCCGAGTGCTTTCATCATAAACACAAACTTCTGACCAATCACATAATATATTGGTACGTGAAGGGAGGTGAGAAGTTCATCTGTGGGGCTGTGACAAGAAGGGTCGGGAGACTCAAAGCTGAGAACAAAATGACACTATTTTCATCATGGAACTATGACAATGAGAGCAGATTTCGCAGGTTCGGATAGACCATGCAGAGGGCTTAAAACTTAGTGTGGTAATAGCTAAAAGTCATTCACCACAGCTAGCTGAGTGATAACGTGACAAATTAGTTGTGAAAGTTTTACCATTAACCATTGAAGCCAGCTATGTCTGCATGTTAGTAAAATATGGATAGAACTACTAGAAAGATTTAATGAACTACAGCTCATAAACGTTTGGAATAAATTTAATTGAAGATGGCCAACACTGAACTTAGGAAACAAATTCGGCAATGACTGAGTGAATTTTACAAATATTGAACTGAAGTTTGGAATTGGAGTCATTAACACATCTCATTGGTTCTTACAAAATCACATGAGCTCGCACATAAACTTCATTTGTAAAGCTTGACCAAAACAGCAGCCACCCAATCCCTTCTTAGCATAAGGTGATAGACTAAAATTCAGGCATGAATGGTGGCAGGTGATATGCATTCATTTTAGCAATATGAGGTCTTTACCTTTTTATTGACATGATCAGTGCAAACTGTGATATCACAGCAAACCTCTACTTGGATTATATTATGCAATGTTTCTGATATTTTGTGAACCACAGGTGTTGCATTCCTCTGTCCAGGGAAAGATAAATGGAGCCCTGTCGCTGCCTCATGGATTAACACTGTGGGGAGATCATCAGTACCAAAGACTTACTGTCAGTGATCCAGCAGGCTGCAGGCTGCTTTCCCACAGTGCACTGCACTCATCTGGAGGCAAAAATTAGACAAATAATGCTACAAGCCAAACAGCTGGGTGTGCTGTGAACTGAGACACTGGAGATTTCTGCACCCGTTTAAAGAGATGCAACAACCCACACTGTGCAGAATTTACAAGAGCATCTGGTTTAGTCAGTGTGTGAGAAACTGAGATTTTACATTATAAACATTTGATTAATGGTGGTCGCGCTAATTAGGAGTAAAATTCTGTTAAATATGCAAATGTATTACTAGTCCTCTAGGTCTATTCCTGTTTCCTTCTTGTGTTCAGAATATTTCTGTTTGAGTAAAAACAACATAAGGATATAGCTCATTGTCCAATCATCCACTTGATTGCAACAAGTATAGAAGTTGTACATTATGTAACAGAGGGGTAAAAGCCTTTCTTATAAGATGACTTTATCTAAAAGAAAAGTTGATATGATACAGTTCAAATAAAATACATAAAAAACACCATTAGAGGTTTGGATAAAACTGAAATGCAGGCAAGCAGTATCCA